TGTGCTTCTCTCGCTTTAGTCTCGCATTTTAATCCTCGAAGGGGGCGCGATACGAACCCTGTTCAGCCTCTCTACTACTCTGGCAGGGTGAATAACGGTCGAGGAAATCCTCGATAAGGGGGTCGTACTTGTCAGGAGGGGTCATGGGGGGGGGGGTCGTACCTGTGAAAGTTGGCAGCTAGCGTATCAGTGGCATTGTGGTGCAAATAGGAGGGAGAGCGTGTACCGCAGCAGAAATCGAGGATGTGCGAGACAACTTTATATAAAATGTTCTTTGTGCTCGCTCTTAATGCCTCGCCGACAGTGATTCCGTTGTAAGGGACGCTGTCGCAAAAACGACAACGGTGAAGGAAATCCTTAAGCAAATGAAGCGGCTTGACGGTTATGGGGGGTACGAGATGTGTGTACTGCAATACAGATTCTGTCAATAGGTCATCATCATATAAAACCTTTCAATCGAGTGTACCGCATTGAGTGATGGTCAGATGCATACCGTATGAGAAGGCGATGTCAATTGACCCTTTTCATATCGCCTACACCGGAACGTTGTATTCTAGATACAATTCGAGTGTTGCTCACGAAAAATTCTGGATAACGGTGAGGATGGAAGCGACTTTTTGAGCAGTCAAAAGTGGTCCTCGATAGATCCTCGACGCAAATTTCTCCTCAATTAAAGGACTTGGAAAGAATAAATAGACTATCGGAAAGCGCAATCCTTCCGCTTTCCAAATCTATCCTTACTTTTTTAATCGCCCAAGAAATTAGAGAGATATTGCCTTTTGAGTGGCAATAACTCGCATGAAAATGTCACCGTCCTCGACGCTGACTCGACGAAATTCGAAAGCCCCTATCTCTTTGCATGGAAGGCTTCCAAAGCAATTTCAATACTGTTTGGCAGTAGCGGGCCTAGCTCTATCTAACCCGGCCGAGTGCTATTCAAAGGGTTCGAATATTGGGAAATGGAATCTTTCATAGAGGGTGTACTTTCCGGTGGTTTTGAGAGAGGCACCCAGAGACAAACCGCGCAATCAGCTGTTGGTCGATACAGGCTGTTGTGATGCTCTTCTATGAACTTCTCAAACATTCGCATGCATGGACAACTCTTTGTGGGATTGCAAAAACTCTCTCCGGTCTGGAATTGAACCCCGGTCTCGCATGTGACACGCGGATACTCACCACTACTCTACCACTATGCTCCATTCATGGGAGAGGATCAAAATAGGAGGGGTCGTGCCAAGACTTCGACTTTGGGGGGGGGTCGTACTTTTGCAACCACGTCCTCGACACGATTTTCACCCTGCTCTCTGGGATGGGAAAGGTGGGCGTGCCTGATCCCGGAGCGTGCCTTTGAGACGCGAGAGGTCAAAATCCAGGAACTATTCCGGAGGGGAAATCACCAGAGCATATCTGAGGCTCTATTGAAACTGCTACTCTCCAGTGTAGATACCCTTGGTTCACTTTTCCGAGTGGGCCGTGATCAAGCAACGGATGGTGTCGTACTTGGTTGAGCTTGCAGAGGGGGGGGGGGAGGAAGGGTTGTAGCCTCCCGGTGCCCGGCAGTGGGATTCTTGGTAATACCCTGTTGAAAATGGGTAGTGGTACGGAGGGAAAGAGCGGCTGCTACCAGGGCTTTGTTCGGACACCTGGACAAACAAGGTGCATCATCGGTCGTCATCTGAATGTGGACGGCTGCAGCAGAATGAAGACTCGATGGAAACGCCGTGCGCCCACTGAACAGGCCGAAAAGCATGTCTGACCATGTGCGGGTGTCTTCTCTTGCTGCCGCATAGACGGATTTTTCCCCGATCACCAATTGTGATGATGAGTCCACTGCGACAGCAACCCACGGCATGCATGGTGGCTAACTCGCAGCTAGAATTCACCAACTCCACCCAAACTCCATTGTTGGGAAATACTTTCTTGGTTCCTTAGATTGAGTAAATATCTTCTTTTCCCAACCGCTTTGCTATGCAGAGATGCATTGCGAATGCCATCGTTGAACAGCTCCCGAGCCTGCCCGCAGAGAACCGTCCTGAACATCTTCATATCTCTTCTCTACAAGCTAACACCCGATCTAATATTGTAATTATAACTCGCCAAGTTTCCGCTCTACCACCTGAATTTGCAGAATTTTAGTCTTTACAAAGCAGCACGCGAGTTCGCTCAGTACGTGAACATTTTGTAAGGGATTGAAACAATTCGCGTGCTGTTTCGTGAAGACTCAAATTCTTTCAAATCCAATGTTGTGGAGTTGAACAAAACTTCAGGCCCCGTAGGGGACTCGAACCCCTGACCGTGAAAAGTCTAACGCCCTACCAACTGACCTAACGTGGCTCCACCAGCAGTTCGCTCAGTACGTGAACATTCTGCGTTGAGGGGGACTGACTGGACCACGATGCCAGCCGTCGTATCCCATTATATTTTGTCACATTATGCCCCATTTTGCAAATCGCAGCAGAGAATCTTCTTCAATTTCTCAACTTC